AACTCTAGGTTATGATTCTAGTTTACCTGGAACAGACGGGTCAACTCTAGGTCATGATTCTAGTTTACCTGGAACAGATCGTATTTAGCTCCAAGTATAACTACAGGAACAGGGAACTTGAGAATACTCTCCTTATCTGATACAAAATTACTTTTCACAACTTAAGACACAATATTTAAGACTTTCATATGGAAAGGGGGGGGGGCTTCTAAAAAAATAGATTTGATTCTTAATTTCATATTTCTGATTAAATGTCAGTTAAACCTACGAAAAATGAGAAATAAATGAAGAGTTTTAGATTCTCTGTTTCATGTTAACAGTGAAGACACTTTTAGTCCTGGGTTTTTTTAAAACACTTTGAATCTTAAACATTAAGGATATTTTAAGGAAACAAGAAAAGTGTCTTATATATTCAGTGTTATAAAACTAAATAAAATCCTATTTAAGGAAACAAGAAAAGTGTCTTATATATTCAGTGTTATAAAACGAAATAAAATCCTATTTGTAAGCTTTTAAGTAATGCCCCATTCTTACACTCTTTTCATAAATTTTCAATACTTTTGTTTTCTAATTTAACTGTTTAGGATGCATTACATACATTGATTTATCTAATATAAAGAGTATCGTTTTTAGCCTTTGTAACATTTCGTTCTGAAATCTTTCCTGGATGCTCTTCATAGTCCACCTGTTCTTTTTTCATTTTTATTTCAGTTTTTAATATTCTAGCTTGTTCAGTCCGCAGCGCTGCGTCTATGTATTCCTAGGTATGGAAAACTGTTTAACTATAGTATGGTTTATAAACAACAATAAATTTCTTGTGTGTTTACAAGGGGGGGGCGGGGGATATGCCAATATTACTTGTCACGCTTTTACAAATTCATGAACAAATACTTCATAAAAACTACCCAGCTTCTTCTCTTTTGAATAATGTCTAGATTACCTTAATGGAGAAAATGAGAGATGTTACTGTATTCCAGATTCTAATAATAATATTCTTTTTAATGCAGGGTGTCCCACGAAACATGACAGTTGGTAAATAGTTTTAAATATCGTCTTCCATACACTGTATTATGATAGTAAAGGCTTTATGCAGTTTATTTCGTTTAAAAAATCTTTAGCTGAAATATATTTTACTTTGAAGTTAATTTTATGATAACATGACTCCTATATAATTTTTATTATTGTCTTTGGTATTAAACAATTAAACAAATTATGGAAGAAGACATTCTAAACTATTTACCAACTGTCATGTTTCATGTTTCAACAGTTGGAATTAAAAAAAAGATCTTTAAAAAAATACTATTTAAAAAAATCAAATTTTTCAGCCTTTGTTACCCCTAGGGTACCCATGGGTTCCCTCAAAAATGTCAGCCAATTCGGTACAGCCGTTTGGCCCGCAATAGCTACCATATATACAAACAAATATATATGAGCGAAGAGCTAGTTATTATATGTACAGGTAGAGCTGAGCGTCGTTTTGGGAGAACGATCGCTCTTTCACAAGAACGATCTCATCGTTCCGAAAAAAATAACGGAACGCAAAGAACCCGTTCTTAAAAATATTGGAACAAAACCGAGAAGAACAGAACGGATATTCGCTTTAAAAAACGTCTGAAATCAGGAACGCGTTCTTATTATCAAAAACACGCTCTAAGTCAGGAATGCATTTTAAATTAGGATAGTGTTCATAAATCATCTAAAAATAACCAAATGTTCATTTAAACTACCAAATATGAAAAAATAATAATGAAAAAATGTAAAATAATATCTTGATATACTTCATTTTATTTCGTATTTGGTAAAAAAGGGTGTCCCACGAAACATGACAGTAGCAAGACAACTTGAAGGTCGTCTTGGGTATTCAAAATAATTAAGAAGACAACCGGAAACTCTTCAAACATGACGAATCCAAGTTTAAATCAAGTTTTGTGCAATAAATATAGAATTTTAATGATGTATTTGATGATTTGGCAAAAAAACAAGTTTACAGTTCTAGGAAACCATAAATATAAAGAAACAGATAGTATAAATTCACTACAGTCGTCTCTAAAGGCTCATCCTTTGTGGGTAACCCTGTATATGTTAGCTATGGCTAGCCTAGCAGCTTGACCGAATTGGCTGAATTTTTTGTGGGAACCCATGGGTACCCTTGGGCTAACAAATTTGATTTTTTTCCCATAATACAAAATTTTTTAATTAAGTGTTGCAAAATTCTACGGGAAACTCTGGGCCCTTAGTATATTATATTATAAAGATATAAAACGTCAGTATCAATGTATATTTGAACTTAATTGGAATTTATTGCTTAATTAAANGATGAAGGATGAAGGATGAAGGATGAAGGATGAAGAATGAAGGATGAAGGATGAAGGATGAAGGATGAATGATGAAGGATAAAGTATGAAGTATAAAGTATGAAATATGAATGATAAAGTATGAAGTATGAAGGATGAATGGAATGAAGGGAATGAAGGGAGAGAGGCAATGAAGGCAATGAAGGTAGAGAAGAGAATGAAGGCTACCTGCAGGAGATAAAGGTGTTTCAAGTAGGTTTGTATGTAAAGTACCTCCTCCTAATTCCCAGATATGGCAAACATCCTAAATCAAAATCCTTCAAAATAAGATTTTTAAAGAAACAACTTTTACTGAATCTGAGCCTAGCTGAAACTCGATTCTTTGCATGTGTTTACTCTAGAATTTTTTCTTTCAAAGCTCAGCTCTTAGGCAATAAATCTTCTTCCTAAAATTATTGTAACAGGGTGGCCCAATAAACATTGGAATTTAGAAACGATTTTGATATCGTCTTTGTAAATGATCTTTTGATTTAGTTAGGTGATGCACTACTAGGAAAGGGCTGTCTGATATAGCTAAGAGCATGTTAAGAGTTTGTTTGTTTATGTTTTTTGCATACTGTAATTGTACTTAATAAAATTAGAAATTCGAGTATACAAACACAGTACAGAGCTGCTCCTCTTTACTGTTTATCTTGCAGAAATTTTACAGAACCAAAGAGAATAGAATATATATTAGAGTGGAATTTAGAAAATCCCTCGGTATGAATTTTGTCAATCCCTTTCAGCCTAAAAGGGAGTTCAAAGTGTACAAATCTTGTAAATGTTCACAAATTATATGCAGTAGAGTGCATTAATACAGTATGTTCCCTAGACTATCCATTTCAATTTCGAATTTTTTACAGCTGTTAAATAAACTTTATAATAAATTAGGTGAATAAAAAACATCATTTGATTTATAGTTATAATAGAAAATCGTCCCTAGTAAAGTGAAAGGCATAGAGTCTATGTGAAATGATCATTGGTTAATTACGAACCCAGCCTATTTCATAATTTGGTTTTCTTGTAATATTAATTTTAGATTTTCTATAAAATTATGTTCCAGGGCCCAAAAGGTTATATAGCGCAAATATGTGAAGTACACCTGCAGTATGGAAATAATACAACAAAATGGCCGTTTTACACTTTTTTCTAGTAAATTCCCCTCTAATATATATTCTATTTTCTTTGTACAGAACATCTTACAACATTTAACAGAAAAACAAAACAGATTTTTACCGTTTACATGAAATATAATCTAGCAGATGTACATAACTTAATTTTAACCATTAAAATTAGGTAAAAGTCACAACGCTGATTCTTTACAATAAAGACGATTTCGAATTCGTCTATTAATTGACATGTTCTATTGGGACACCCTGTAACGCACGAGAAATCTAATTTGAATTACCTTAATCAGGTTCTGGTTTGTTTTCCTTCCAAAAGTGTACTCTAAGGCTAATGTTTGTTTTGCAGATTCATCGCGTTCAAGAAATCTATGAATCAATGTCGTCTTCCCAACTCCTTTGCTGCCTAAAAATCCATTTAGAAAGATGGGCTTATAACGAATTAAAAATACAACAATTTTCGTAATTGCAACGAGTTTATATACAACCCCAATAAGATTATTTATATATGTATATACTCTTATCCTATAAACGTCAAAAGGGTAGGGCTGGGCAAAGTTACGCTAAAGAAACGGATTTTCCGTTTTTGATGAAAAAACATTTACGGTTGAAAACGAAACGTTTTTTAAAATGGTGAAATTCGATTTTTTCTGCTTAAAATTGTATGAAACTTGTAAAAAATATTTTTACGTGTTTTGATGTTTTTAAATGTTGTCTTTTGTGTTTAGATCTTTCAATTCTGAAAATAGATATCGTAACCTTCGAATTTTGATTTAAAAAATTTGGAGTTTGGCCGTTACCGATTTTTTACGGTGCTTTATGCCCAATACTAAAATAGACCCAACTGGAGCCATAAACGATTGTCGAAAATTTTCCATTAACGTTGTTAATAAAATTGAGATCGCTAAATAACGGTAATTTAAAAAAAAACAGTAAATGCAGTTAACGAAACGAACGTTCCGTTCTTACCTTTAAAATTAACGACTACCTGAAATTTCTCTCTTTCAACGGATGTAACTAACCGTTAGCGAAACGGCTAGAAAAAGTTGGAACTTGCCCAGCCCTACAATAGGGTTGAACCAATTGTGCCCAAATTTTGTTACTGTTTAAAATATTTTTGTACAAAGAGACAATGCTCACATTTTACAATTTGTGTTTGTTGGTATAAAAAGGTCTTTCATTGATCGAATTCAGTATTAGCTGGAAAGTATCTTTTCAATTCATCTTTTATTTGCAGAATAATGGCACAACACAACATATTTTATAATGGATGACAAGGTAATTATTTACAAATCCAACGTTCTTCTTTACATCCAAAAATCAAATCTCAATCGCTAAATAATGCATAATTTTAAAATAAAAAATATGAGAAAATTAACACTAGCGTTTTGCTTATAAATTCGTGTACTGATTTTCGTGATTTTACTGAGCGATCAGTGTTTTAAGTCGAATAATGATTCAATTTAAAGAATTTGTTTTTCTCTTTGAATTTTGATTTTAAAAATTGATAATAAAAGTATGGAATAGGCAGAAGATTATTAGACTTAAGTAATGTATTTAAAAATTCCAGTTAGGGAGGGGGTGCAGGGACGCCATGAGCCCTCCCAAATTGTCTCCAAGACTCTGGATTAACAGATGAGTAATTAGAATGACCTGGCCCTATCCCTAGATATTACAGAAGTAATGCATAAAAATTTGTACAAAAATTTATAATATTATAACAGTAATGCTTTTTGGATATTCAAGAAAACACTGCATAACTATTTAAAGATTAATGATTTTCTTTAAAAAATGTTATTTATTGCTTCAATAATATATATTCTAACATTTACCAGAGAGGCACCAGATCATGGTGGCCCTGCACCCCCTCCCTCCCTCCCCCTTTATTACCTGCAAATACTATTGTGGTTTCCTTCTGGTTTCCCTTGTTTCCTCTCTGGTTCCTTTCATTATTCAGCGCTACAGCCCTTTCCCAGATACCCATTTCAACTCCCATTTTTCTCTATAGAATAGAAAACTTAAAAGGTGACTATACATTAGTCCCAAACTCGATACTCCCTTTTATCTTTGCAACTTGATAACGTAAACCTTTCACTTTTAGATCTAACGGAATATTTTTAAATATTTAAAATCTGAGAGATCAGGTTTCAAGGATGTAGGGATATATCTTAATTTCATTAAAATACAGAGCGTCCCAAATCATGTAAGTTTATCTATTTCCGAACTGTTCTTGTATATTTTGGATTTACGGTTTAATATTAGTCTGTTACAATCTGAACTAACTCTAGCTAATCTTTAAAAAATAATAAATTTCCTGGAAGAATCTTAAAAACAGTGCTTTGGATCCATTAAATGTTGATGTGGATGCGGATCCAGGTGTGCAGATTTACTGATTTTTCAAATTGTTTTTTTTTTTACTTTTTTTACTTATTTTTATGCAAGAACTTGATATACCATTCGTAGGGTATTTTTGATAATTCCTCTTTTTTCATCAGTTCAGATTTGAATTTTGAGAGAAAAAGACATTTTTTTGCAGTTTTTGGTTGATATTTTGCCCTTGAATCAGATTCAATGGATACACAAATTTTTGCGGATCCTAAGCACTGCTAAAAAAATCAAACAATTTCTAGTTTTGCTGATCAAGGACTTTGTATTTCTCTGAAGTTACTATTTATGAGAAAACAGTAAAAGTTGGTCAAGATTAATTTGATGGTTCTTGTCCTCACAAGCAGCCGCTATTATATTTATAATATATATATATATTTGCATTTATACAGGGTGTCTCAAAAAAACGGTGAATAAGGGCCTACCAAATTTACTCACTCAGTTTGGAAGTTTTAGGAGTCTTATAAAATTGAATCGGAAATTGTAAGGAGATTAAAAAATGGTCTCAATCTTGAAATCCTATTACGAATAAGTTTGTAGACCCTTTTTGAGACGCCCTGTACATCGTGTTAGCTATAGCTGGCTAAACGGTTGGACCAAATTGGTTGAATTATTTCATTAGGAAACCCTGGGCCATGGGTAACCCGGGGGTAACATAGGCTATACTAAATTCAAAATTTGTTTTTAATCGATTTTTTCTTCTCAAAATTCGATGGGCACTTCAGCTAGTTATGCACATTACTGTTAAATATTAAGAATGGAAGAAATATTATGGAGACTAGTAGCGGACTCAACAGCTGATAAGAAAGCTGCGGATTTGATCTGCCAGCTGTCAACAAGTAAATGCGTTTCTGCCGCGCATTTTTCCCTCTCAAAATGTGGATGCTTAACAATTACAACATTATGGAGATCAGTTTTTAACTCTGATCTATTCAATAATTCCATAAGAGATACTCTCAGAGTTCCAGGCTCTATAATATTATCCATAAAACTCTCGGACGCCTCTGCCTCTTGATGAATAAGACCACACGCACATGAGAGAGAACTTGCGGATTTCCACAAATGCCCGAATTTTACATCAACATAGATCTAAAAATTAAATTTAAAAAAGTATTATTTTTATTTTTATTATTTTTATCATAATCATTTTTATTTAATTGAATAAATCATGCATGAATATGAGACTTTAAATGTGATATTTTTTTAACTAATACTTCTATAGCCACAAAGTTTAAAAAAAAAATGATTTTGATTTTTTCTAAAATTAAACCCAAAATTTTAACCTTGGAATTTCACATTTCACAAAAAATTTGACAAGAACCACCGTGATTTAATTGATCTTTGTGTTTAGGGGGGGGGGGGGGTTTCTCCGATGAAATGGTGGGTTGAAATGTGGACTCCAATGAGATCAACGCGGTCTTGCTGACTTTATAATGTAATAAAAAAAAGTGTTTATATTGATAAAAAAAATGTAAAATAGTGAACTTAAAAAGAGGGATATTTTAATAAACTTCCTCAAAAACTAAAAAGTATGAAAAAAGGTGAAAACAAATGTTGGGCGTGTTCTCGCATCCATATCAATACCTCATAAGTCTGCTGAGTTTGAAAATGTGCCGCCATATTAAAGAATATTTTTGCCAGCTGGTTCCTCTGCTCTCCATCCTGTAAACCCTATTATATAGTTTAAACATAATCTTATAATCGTTAGTTCATATACTTAAACTTTACAGGGAATGTGGGCGTTATTTCAATTGAATATCACAAGATATCCATAATTTTCTCTTATAGAATTTAATATTTTGAAATTATGGTTAGTGTACTTCTCCTCTATTGCTCTGCATTGCATCAATTATTTGAAAAGATTTGATTATCGTAATTTTAAAGTTATAACTTTACTAATATATGCAGATGTGGTGCTTAAAGGGAGTGACTGGCAATGTATGGTAGTTGGCCGGTCACTCCCTTTAACCAATATATGAACTTACATATTCTTGAGCCATATTTACACGTTTGTCATGACAATCTTAAGTCATTAGAAGATTAACAAAAGAAATCAAAACCTTTTCTAATAATTTTCCAGATCAATTATCATTACTCATTTTATCTTTACCTTTGGGTTGAGTAGAGAGAGAGCAATTCTAGTTTCTAAACATCCTCCTCCTGGTACAAACAGGGGAACAGTCTACAAAGTTTAACCTTTTTAACATTGTAAATTTTAATAATGTATTACTACTACCTTCTGTGAAACTAGGAACTGTATTAGAAACTGTATTATTACTACCTCTTGTGTAACTAGGAACTGCATATTACCTCCTGTGTTACTTGGAGCTGTATTTTACTATCTGTTGAACTAGAAACTGTATTATTACTACCTCTTGTGTAACTAGAAAGTGCAAAAATAGTGCTACTTCCTGTGTAACAAGGAACTGTATTATTACTACCTGTGAAACTAAGGACTGTATTATTACCTGTGTAACTAAGAACTGTATTATTATCTGTGTGTGTAACAATGGACTGTATTATTACCTGTGTAACTAAGGACTGTATATTTAATTACCTGTGTAACAAGGAACTGTATTATTACTACCTGTGTAACTAAGGACTTTATATTTAATTACCTGTGTAACTAAGAACTGTATTATTATCTGTGTGTGTAACACTGGACTGTATTATTACCCGTTTAACTAAGGACTGTATTATAACCTGTGTAAATAAGGACTGTATTATTACCTGTGTAACTAAGGACTCTATTATTATCTGTGTGTGTAACTAAGCACTGTATTATTACCTGTGTAACTAAGGACTGTATTATTATCTGTGTAACAATGGACTGTATTATTACCTGTGTAACTAAGGACTGTATTATTACCTGTGTAACTAAGGACTGTATTATTATCTGTGTGTGTAACAAAGGACTGTATTATTACCTGTGTAACTAAGGACTGTAACGCCTGTATGGATTTTTGAACCTGGAGTTTAAGTTCTAATCTATTTTGTTCAGTAAGAGTTCCAAATACATCAAGGTTTATCTAAAACAGAGTTAAAAGAAGACTTATTTTGGGAGTTGAGTAACCAGAAAGCGCCTGGTCTTGATATTTTCAAAATGTGGTCTACCATTTTTGCATCTTCAAAACTGACGAAGATATTACGAAATTTGTACAAGTTTCAATTTATTTAATAAATCAAAATTTTCTTATCTTTGTCAATTTTTAAGTTAAAAGAAAAGTAGAACCCTTTGTAAAAAGCTCGTCAAGCGTACAGCCTCGTTTTTTTTACATTCTTTGTCATGCATAAGATATCAGAAATCAAATACGACTTTCAAGTCGTCTCTCGATTCCCATGTTTATTGGGACACCCTGTACTTTATTCCACCGCCTCCCAACCTGGACTAACCAGTAACCAGGATAAGATGTATTCGGTTTCGTCTGTATGTTTTCAGTCCCGTTTGTATTTTTGTATACAAAAGGATTTACGTCTTTGCCACAGACTTAAATTTTGTAATCCCTATATCTTTACATCCTGATTGTGTAAATCTTAGATATTTCAAACTTGGAATTTTTTATCTAATAGAATTCATAGTTTGAAATATTTAAGGTCTAAGCCATTAAATTGCTAAGATATAGGAATTTGAAAACAGAGTTTGTGACAAAGACTCAATTCCTTTTTTGTCTAAATTTAATTCTACACCTATTGTAGATTATTTTTGCTTTAGGATGATTGATCTGCTGCCATTTCTAATGCTTTGAAGTAAAATTGCATCTATAAGAGAGCTCCTATAGATACGATTTTACTTCAAACCATTAGAAATTGCTCTATGAGGTCACAAAGCATTATATTACATATCATGAAACTATGAAACATGATGGATGATAGACGAACAACAATAGAAAGTAGAGATTTAGAAAAACAGAAATCTCAAAAACTTGCAGCTAATATTATCTAATTTATAGAATTTTGTTAAAATTAAAATTTAAAAAAAATATGTCAAAAAAGAAATTGACTTTATCAACTTGACTCGGATTGATTTCAATAAATTATCATTTATCTGTAAAACACTTTTCTTCTTGAGAAGATGAGGGGAAGGGAAAACAAAGTTTTTTTTTTATTATAAGGAAAATAAAATTTTCTTCATTCTCCTTTCAGCATTTCTTCCTTTTTACACTTGATCAATTATTTTTAAAAATATTCAAAACTGACCTGGCCACACCTAAAATATAACAACATTTTAATAATAATAATAAAAATAATAATAATAATAATGAAAATTATAACAATAATAATAATAATGATAATAAAAATAATANTAGGGAGTAGATGTATAAAAATAAAGGGATTGTAGGGAGTAGATGTATAAAAATAAAGGGATTGTAGGGCGTAGATGTATAAAAATAAAGGGATTGTAGGGCGTAGATGTAGAAAAATAAAGGGATTGTAGGGAGTAGATGTAGAAAAATAATTATATCTCCTTCAATCAATTGACGAGACAAATGTTTAAAAGGAACTGACATTAAACTTAAATAATGGATGGACCCTTCTAGAAAAGTATTTTTCAACAGGCGACAGGTCTGCTGTTGTACACAAGTAGTACGTGCTTTTTCTATTGAAAAATAATTACCTGGCATGTACAGAAGTTTGTACAATTCCTCCAGCCACCTGCTCAAGCCTGCAGTACAATTAGAATAAAAGTTTTTATCAATTTCTTTTTAAAAACCGATGAATACTTTCATGAAGATCAGTCTCACTAATCTGCCAAGAAAGGGGAGGATTAATTTCATGTACTATCCCGTTTTGCCGTCTCTAGTGTAAATGTATTGTTTAGTGTACACTGTACTGTATAGAATTACTGTATACTGTACAGCAATTGTATACTGCACACTGTACAGTTATAGTATACTGTACGCAGTACAGTAATTATGTACTTTATACTGTAATTGTATAATGTACACTGTACAGTAATTGTATACTGTACACTGTACAGTAAGTGTATACTGTACTATGTACGCAGTACAGTAATTGTATACTGTTCACTGTACAGTAATTCTATAGGGGGATATACAGTCTAGATACATTTAAGTTGGTTTTTTGTCAAATAAACCGAAGTATTTTAAGAATATTTATATTTATATATAATTAATATATAATTACATATTTACATTTTTATAT